AAAAATTGAGAAAAATCACGTCTTTTTTAGGGTTTTTAATTTTTTTGAGACAATCAGACGGCGGGGCATTACAGAAAACTAATTTTCCTTGATTGCTAGGGGTGGTAGCTAACATGTGTAGCTATTTTCAAAGCGGCACAAACAACCGTGTAGAGACTACAATCGAAAATTGACAAAAATCACGACTTTTTTAGGGTTTTTAATTTTTTCGAAACACTCAGACGGCGGGGCATTACACAAAACTAATTTTTCTTGATTGCTAGGGGTGGTAGCTAACATGTGTAGCTATTTTCAAAGCGGCACAAACAACCGTGTAGAGACTACAATCGAAAATTGACAAAAATCACGACTTTTTTAGGGTTTTAAATTTTTTTTGAGACACTCAGACGGCGGGGCATTACACAAAACTAAATTTTCTTGATTGCTAGGGGTGGTAGCTAACATCTGTAGCTATTTTCAAAGCGGCACAAACAACCGTATAGAGACTACAATCAAAAATTGAGAAAAATCACGACTTTTTTAGGGTTTTTAATTTGTTTGAGACACTCAGACGGCGGGGCATTACACAAAACTAATTTTTCTTGATTGCTAGGGGTGGCAGCTAACATGTGTAGCCATTTTCAAAGCGGCACAAACAGCCGTGTAGAGACTACAATCGAAAGTTGACAAAAATCACGACTTTTTTAGGGTTTTTAATTTTTTTGAGACACTCAGACGGCGGGGCATTACACAAAACTAATTTTTCTTGATTGCTAGGGGTGGTAGCTAACATGTGTAGCTATTTTCAAAGCGGAACAAACAACCGCGTAGAGACTACAATCGAAAATTGACAAAAATCACGACTTTTTTAGGGTTTTTAATTTTTTTGAGACACTCAGACGGCGGGGCATTACACAAAACTAATTTTTCTTGATTGATAGGGGTGGTAGCTAATATGTGTAGCTATTTTCAAAGCGGCACAAACAACCTTGTAGAGACTACAATCGAAAATTGACAAAAATCACGATTTTTTAGGGTTTTTAATTTTTTTGAGACACTCGGACGGCGGGGCATTACACAAAATAAATTTTGTTTGATTGTTAGTAGTAGTAACTAACATCCATAGCTATTTCTAATATGGCACAAACAGCCCTTAGAATTTATGAGAATCCGGCCGGTATAGTAAAAAGTAGGCCTAACCGCGATTTGATAGTTTTATGGCTGAGATTTTATGGATAACTTCACACTAACGGAATCCTAGACGAATTCGAATGCTTTTATTTTTAATCATCTCAATTTTTTTTAGGTGAGTCTTGGATGCTGATATATAGAAAACACTACCATACTCGAGAATGGATCTTATTAAACTTTTATAAAAAAGTAAACCCATATTGGGATCAGCTCCCCAACTATGCCCACAAAATGTCTTCAAAATGTTGATAGCATTTTCAGCTCTTTTTATTGTGTAGTTTATGTGTTCTTTCCAGTTCAATTTCTGGTCAAAAATTATTCCTAGGAATTTTGTTGAGGTTTTATGTCGGAATCGATATCCCCCCAAACTGATATATTCTGATGTAGGTGTAAAACGTTTTCTGATGAAATTTACTATCACTGATTTGTTCTCCGAGATTTCAAGACCTTGTCCACGAACGTACTTCCGAGATAGCTCCTCCGAGATTTTCCAGACTTCTTTCTATTGAATTTCCTGTTGAGAAAATGCAAATGTCGTCAGCAAATTGCAATACCCTAATATTTTGATCAAATATATTTTCAAAGCCGGCTGCATAGATTAGATATAGAAGTGGACTTAATATAGTTCCCTGTGGTAGACCTTGATTAGTTATTCTAGGCCCAAGAATTTTATCTTGGATTTTAATATACATACGTATTTCGCTTGTTGTATAATTTCATTATGCTATATACAATATTTGTAGGAATCCCTTTTTTCATCATTTTTTTGGTCAGAATAGTTAGGTTAACATTGTCATATGCTCCTTTGACATCCAGAAAAGCTGCCGCTATGGAATGATTTTTAGTAAATGTCAGCTGGACTTCTGTGACAAAGTATGCTACGCTTTCTTGAGTAGAGCAGCCCTTACGAAACCCGAAATGAGCTTCTGGGATTTTATTATTCGACTCTAGCCAATGTTCTATCCTATTTTTTATCAACCTTTCATATGTTTTTAAAACACAAGAGGCTAAACATATTGGTCTGTAGGATTCCGCTACATTAGTAGGTTTTCCTGGTTTTAATATTGGAATAATGTTGTAATTGCTCCAATCTTCTGGAACATCTATCTTGTTTTTCCAAATATTATTAAACGGATTGATTAATTTTTTTTTTGAATTGACTGATATGTTTGAAATCATTGAGTAATGAATGTTATCCATTCCTGGAGCTGAATTGTTATTAATTTTTAGGGCTCTTTCTAGTTCTAGTATAGAAAATGGCCTTGATAAATATTCATCATGCAAAGTTCCTGGCATCTGTCGCTGAGGTTCTGATATTTCCACCCAACATGGAGCAATTTTTTGGATTTCAGTCAGTTCAGCAAACTAGGGTTATTTCTATGTTTTGTAATCGTTCTTTCTTTTAATTACCGCCGTTTGGCATAAATCATTCCACCATGTTTTGCATTTGTTATTTGTACCTTCTTCATTATATTTGGGTACCTATTCCTCGCTACAATTAAATTTAATTCGTCCATAAACTTTCCATAATTGATTGAATTTTCCTCACTCAAAATACTTTCCGAATCATTGAGAAATCCTTCCCAATTACCTTTTTTAAATTCCATTTTTTATTTGTATATTTTACTGTGCATTGTGGTGATAAATTACAATGAATTACTATTGGAAGGTGATCTGATCCACACGGATCTAAATAGGTATCCCACTGGAGACTATTGGCAATATCTGGGGTTGCTATTGTAATATCTATAGCTGTATCTCTTGTACCGAATCTACCTATAAAAGTAGGCTTGCCATTATTTAAAAAAATCAAGTTATTCTAATGCAATGCTTCTAAAAGATTTTTTCCAGCTACATCATTAAAACCGCCTCCCCAGGCCAAATTGTGGGCATTAAAATCGCCTCCCAAAATAAAAGGTCTAGGAATAGCGTTTAAAAAATTTACCCACTCATATGTTGTGATTCTAGTATTTGGTTTTATATAAACAGAAACTAAAGATAAGGATAATGAATTATTAATTTTCAACCTTATTTCCTTAGTATACATTTTGAAAACCTTAAAATTGAATTGCCATGTAGTACACCTCAAATACCCAGAACTTCATCTCAAAAAAAAAAATACTACTGCTACTCTATAAAATTTGAAGTTCATCTCTACTAATTTACCTGAGTATGTGGTAGTTTCTGCAACTTTGAGAATTTTATTACAAATTCAAAGTACTTTAGGGACATTTAAAGAGCTTCAAGCACATTTAAAGAGCTTCAAGCACATTTAAAGACCTTCAAAGCACGCTTTAAGACACCACAAGCACTTTTGATGTGCTCCAAGCACTTTTCAAATCACTTTGAGGGAATTTGCTTAAAATTGAAAGCACTTTGAGAAAGGGCTTAGGGCTAAGTGCTCCAATCCCTTTCACCGAGGGCTTTGCCCAGCTCTGGACTGGACCTGTAACTATACAGTGACGATATAAAGTGCGTCCCCCCCCCCCCCCCCCCGCCCCTGTAACTATTGAACCGCTCAGTATATTACAAAGAAATTTGGATAATATCTCAGCAAATTCTCCATTTATTGAAAAAAAATTGCACTTCAAGCTGTCAAAGCATTTATTTAACAAACAAAAGTATAAAGTAATGATTCAAATTACGAGTTCAATTACTAAAAAAAATTTATCATGACCATGTTTCTTTGTCATCATTTGAAAACCGCTAACCCTAAACCAACTGTTTTCAGAATCGAGGATTAACTTAAGAATAAATATACCTTCAAAACGATATATCACTCGACTCCGCCTTCAGCTGGAGTCATTTCTTTTTGAGAAAATGGAGAATTTGTTCACAAATATCTTCATTCCAAATTTCGTTGTTAGAGGGGGGGCCACGAAATGTATGTCCTTACTGTATGATATTCAATTTTACGGCAAAACTGTACATAATAAAATTAGCTTCAAAAAGGCCTACCTAATTCAAAGTCAAAACTTTGGTTTTCTAATTCACTTTTTGGCGAGTCATAGATGCATAAAATCAAGTATCAAAATGAGCATATG